ACTTGTAGCCTTTATGAAGAGAACTATAACCCAGAAACACACATTTCTTTGACCGAAATTCAAGCTTTCTATGATTATATGGACGAAGATGGGGCCAACAGGCACACCCGAACACCTTAAAGAAGGTATAGTCAGGAGTTTCATGTAGAAGGAGCTCAATAGGAGTTTTCATATTAAGAACACGCGTAGGTAGTCTGTTAAAGAAAACACGTTGTAGCAAAGGCATCACTCCAAAAGCGAAAAGGTACAGAGGCGTGAGCCAGGAGTGTGAGTCTGGTCTCAACTACATGTCGATACTTGCACTCAACAGCGCCATTCTGCTGATGTGTGTGAGGACAGGATAAACGATGAGAGATCCCAAGCTTATTAAAGAAAGTGTTGAGGTTGCGATATTCGCCCGCCCGCCCCCGCCCCCCCCCCCTAATCGGACTGAACATGGATAATTTTATGCTTGAGAAGACGTTCTACATGCACTTGAAACTGAATGAATATATCAAACACATCAAATTTGCGCTTAAGAAGATAAAGCTAGGTAAAGCGACTATAGCCATCAATGAAGCTAACATAATAGTTGTGACCACTCACAGACGTCTGAGCAGGACCCCACACATCAGAAAACACAAGTTCAAGAGGACTCGTTACTGCACGAGTAAAGGAAACAAATGGTAACTGATGACTCTTGCCTTGTTGACAGGCATCACACACGGACATCTCCTTATTGCTAGACTCGATAGGCAGCTCATGGCGGTGAAGGATATGGCGAACTATGGGAGTGGCAGGGTGACCAAGGCGAGAGTGCCACTGGGATGGAGACACACGAACACCGCTGAAGACGCGCGGGGAGGATGGATCCTCCAAGCGGTATAAGCCATGGCTCAGGCGACCACTAAGCAGAATTTCTCGGGTGGCTCGGTCCTTAACAAAAAGATCAAACGGGTGAAATTCATATAGGACATTGTTATCAAGAGTGAGCTTTGGAACAGATAACAGATTAAGAGTCACCGAGGGGACCCGTAAAATATTACGAAGATGAAGCTTCCTAGATGGATGACTAGTTAAGAGAGATGCTTGACCAACGTGAGAGATGGGCATACCTACACCGTTGGCGGTGTGAACCTTGTCATGACCATGGTATGGCTGGTGAGCGGACAGCTTGGCGAGCTCGTTCGTCATATGATTCGTGGCGCCGGTGTCCATATATCACGCGGGGTCAATCGGGTACGACGGCGTAAAACCTTGGTCGACGCGTGTATCCTTGCCCTTGGCGGCAACATGAGCAGCAGGAGGGCCAAAATCCGCCATGGCAAATTGACGCTCATTACCTTTTCCATCATTGCCGATGCCTAGGAAGCTCCGCTGAAATCGTTTGTGGCACTTGGAGGCGAGGTGCCTCTTACAACCGCAAAGCTGGCACCACACGGGGCCCCCGCCCAAGGTTGGCGCAGGGGGGTGGCAACCCGGGCAGGCGAGGAAGGCGCAGGTGGGCGCTGGCCACGTGATGCCCAAAAGGCCGCCGGTTGATCGGCGATGGTGGTGACGGAGCGACGAGCTTCGATGCGTTGCTCGGTGAAGAGCAGACGGGAGAAGAACTCGTGCGGAGGAAGCGGCGGCTTGGCGTAGTGGACGGCCTCGGCAAGGTTGTCGTACTCGGCATCGAGACCCTTGATAACGTAGCCGGCGAACTCCTCATCACTCAGCGGTCGACCAATAGAGGTCAATGTGTCCGCCAAGACCTTGATTTTGTTGAAGTATGTTGTGGCAGATGAGTCCAGTTTCTTGATGTCATCAAGCTTGCTGCGAAGAGCCATCGAGTGGGCGGTGGAGGTCTGGGCAGACGCATGCTCCAGAGTCGTCCAGGCATCCAAGGAGGAGGCAGCAAAGAGGCAAAGGCCAGCGACCCCGTCCCTAGGGAGCCCTGGATGGCGGAGAGGATCGCTTGGTCTTTGCTGCACCCACACACGGTGCGCAGGGTTGATGGCCGGGCCGTGGACAATGTGGATAACCTGCGGCGGACACGGTACGGAACCATCGACATAGCCAAGGAGGGAGCGGCTGCGGAGCAGCGATAGAACCTTGGCGCGCCAAAACAGATAGTTGTCCGGCGTGAGACGAGTGGTGATCAGGTTGTCGAAGTGAAACGGCCCCGAGATCATGGCAGCGTCGGTGGTAGCAACAGCGGACGCCGCAGGGGTTGCGGGTGCCACACCCGCGAGCGGATCATCGAAGGCCCCCGAGGCCACCGGCAGTATGGCGAGTGTCGGGGACGAGCCAGCTATGGCCGCGGGTGGCGCCATCATCACGGCGGTGGAGACCGCCACCATCGACGTCGCAGGAGATGGCGGGATCGAAGCCGAGAACATCGAGCCAACGGCAGTAGTGCCGAAGACTTGGGGCCTCGGCGACGCACCGGCGTGGGCGGGGAGATTGAGAAGGGCGGCCAGCGACGCGGGGATGGCCCTGGAGCTGGCGAACCGGAGGCGGAAGCGGTCATGGCAGCGGCGGCGACGGTGGCCCTAGGGTTGGGGGCACTGTGGCGGCAGCGGCTGAGGTGGAGTAGGACCTAGGGTTAAGCTGATACCATGTTAAACATAGGATTTGTGGGAACTGGCTCAACCCTCTAGGGATGGCCTATCACATATATTTACGCAAATGTTAACGCCCACACGTGTGGGCGTTAGCCAACTCACCCACACGCCTCCATCACCGTCCAGTAACTTCTGCATGAATTTTGGCACGAATTAGCTGATTTTGTATGCCACGTAGGACAACTCGCGTGTGTGGGGTGTGAGAGAGGTCGCCCACACATCCGTTTTACCACATGGAGGGGCCGGTGTGTGGGCGTTTAGCAGTTCGCCCACACACCAGTTTCAGCCACGCACAAGGGTTGGTGTGTGGGCAGTTTGCCATCTCGCCCACACGCCCGCTTCCTCTCCCACACCCAAGCTGCCAGTTGCCATGCGTTTTGCAGTGTACATGGCAACTGCCCTAGTGTGATTGCAAGCAGATGGTAACTCTCTTTTTTTTACCCGAACATGTCAGTTGCCATATGTTTGGCATGGTACATGGCAAACTGCCCTAGCGTGCACGTAAGCAGATGGCAGCTCTTTCTTTTTTAAATGGCAACTGCCCTAGCGTGCTTGTGAGCACATGGCAACTCTCTCTTTTACCCGAACATGTTTTTCCATGCATTTTTTTGTAGCGCTACATGGCAACTGTCTAGTGTTAGTAGGTGGCAACTCCTAAAGTTTTGAAATCATGACAACTGCAGTAGACCAGACCACACATGACAACAGCTGTAGTTGTCCAAAATGGCAATCTGAAACTTTGACCTGAGATGGCAACTGCAGTTGAGCAAACATGGCAACTGTAGTTGTCCGACATGTCAACCGTAGTTCAGCGACATGGCAACTGCACTTAAACGAACATGGACGAGGGTCCGGCCCATGGCAACTGCGGGGCGCGCGGTAAAGTGTCACGTGGGGCGTGCGGGACCACGAGGTACGAGGCCTGACGTACCGGGCGTGTGGGCGTTATCTATTTCGCCCACATGCACGCGTGTAAGAGGGACCGGGAGGAAAAAAAGAGGCGTGTGGGCGCTAGTTGTTTTGCCCATACATAAACGTGTGGGCTGATCCTCTTAGGCACCACACAGAACGTGTGGGCAGATTTCTTAACGCCCACACATGTGGCAGTTATCGGGACCCTATATTTATAAGATTACACAATCGGACTACGTTACAAAGTCTAACAGCAACGACGTCCGCAGCCACGAGTTTCCTCGCCAACGACGGTCGTCGCCCTGAGTTTCCTCTCCCGCCTCCGTGCCGAATCGAGCCAAGATGGCTGCATCGGTGGTGGTCCTTCCCGGGTCAACACTGGGCATGCGCAGCTGCTAGCACGCTCCCGGGCATGCCTTTGCTTGCCAACGAGCGACGACGCACGTCGTTCCGGTGTGGCTCCACCTTGTCCTTCCAGGTCAACGTCATGCTGCTCCTCAGGCCTTCCCAGCCGAGCCCCTCTGGCCGCCGAGCTCATTCCAGGCATCTCCGGTGTGCGTGCGTGCTCTTGTGTGCCTGCCTAGCGAGTGTACGTGTCCGGCGTGTGCCGTGTGCGGTTGGCCGGCATGCGTGCCCAGCGTGTGTGTGTGCGCCTGGCGTCCATGGTCTGCGTGCGTGATCTGTGCGTGTGTCCTGCGTGTGCTACATGTGTTGCCAGTGCGTGCTTGCGTGTGCGCCCACTGGCTGCCAAGGCTCCCTGCTAGAGTGTGCTAATATTTGTTGGTGTGGTCATCCTTTATGTGTTCGAGCGGTCACCTTTGCAACTCTCCATACGTCTAATATGTCAGTGGGGAATTTATTATCGTGTCTAATATATCATACATTCATTTAACTTCACTGTCTGTACCATCAAACTTGTGTGATTTCAGGTCAAAATCTATTAAAACTAACCATCTGCGACAAAAAGAGCTCTTAATTGGGTCATTTACTGTTAGAATAGTACAGTCAACACTTAAACCCTATCGACAAAACAACAAAGGGCGTTCTTGTCATTTCAACACGTTTCAGCAACAGCCGCAGCTGCTACAGCACAACTACCAAACGACTGCACTTCAGCTCAAACCTTCCAGGTTCCAGCCGCAGCTAGCAGCTACAGCTGCTCCTTCCAGCCGGAACCGTTGCAGCTGCAGCTGAAGAAGTTGCAGCCCAAACAAACACACCCTAAATATACCATACAAAAAGAAAACTAAAGTTTAAGAACAAACAACTGCAAATTCAGTCACCACTTTCACAAATTCCAGTCGCATACCATACAAAAAGAAAACTAAAGTTAAATCAAGGCCTGCACGCCATGCATATCAAACCTACTGTTTGTCTGCACACCGTCCTTTTCTTCAAATGAAACTATCAGATCACACTTCACTTCCACGAATCTCATCTGTAACAGGCAAATGCGTTTAATATTTGCAAATTTCTACCTCGCCCTGTAACCGCAATGTCTGACTAATATATAATGTACAAAGGAAAAACAGAAACATCACAGCAACTCGGTGACCAGCTCACCTGAAGCAAGATGGCGCCGGCCCCATCGAAGCTGCACTGGTAGCAGTTCCTGATGTCCTCGAAGAACACCTCGAGCTTGTACATCTGTGTATCGTGATTCAGGTAGAGGTCTATGCGCCGCTTCCCCGGGATGACCTCCACGCACACGCTGTCCCAAGAGTCGGCCACCTCGAATTCGCGCTCGGCGACGCGGTTGCCTACAAGGAGGCGGGCGTCGGCCACGCGGAGAGAAAGGTCCGGCGCGCGGGGAAGAAGGTCCGAGGGGGCAGGGGAGACGGAGAGGAGGGAGCCGAGGAAGCGGGGTAGGCGCCCGGAGGAGGCGAGTTCGGCGGCGAGGGTTGCGGTGGCGGTGGAATCGAACTGAACGCTGCCATTGCCTCGGCTTAGCCAGCCGCGTCGGGCAGCGGCGATCTCGCAGGCGTACGCTTCGCCGGCGGCGGCGACGGCAGAATTGAAGAATGCTAGGAGCTCCTTAGCGACGGCGGAGGGCGGGATATTGGAAACTCGCACCGTTGCCGTGGAGACGGGCGCCGACAACGCTGTCGCCATTGGAGTCTAGGGGGGACTGAAGGATTTGGTGTTCCGGCGGGGTTACCCCTCTTGGGTTTTTTTTTACTAGACAATTGTCCGTGCTAGATTAGCTCGTGACTGCGCTTCTATCTATTATTATAAACTAGGAAAATTGCCCGTGCGTTGTAACGGAAGAAAATAAAATCACACACCCATGCTCTGTGCTTCACAATTGACTAAAAATATCATACACGTGATGCTTATTTTGAGTTACCGACACCATACAATAAAAATGTGGTATGCTTCGTCCGACGACCAGGCATGCATACTTCTGTCGTGTGTGCTAACCGTGAAGTACTTGTCATGTAGATGTTCTAACTTTCTGTTCTATTGTGTACATCTTTTTTGCAACTGGGTCGAATCTTTAGTTCTTTTGTTTTGTTGATTGGCTTCACGTTGCTCTTTTAGTTTTTCCGGTTTTTCTTCATGGCCATCCATGCCTAACGCTCTCTATCTCGTTTACATCTTTGTTCCCTGGCATTCATGATTGGAGATTGCAACCCAAATTGCTTGCCTTCATGAAAGTTTTCTATGATTTACTCCCTCCATTCCAAAATATAAGTGTTTGTAGAGATTCTACTATAGACTACATACAGAGCAAAATGAGTGAATGTATACTCTAAAAGGCGTCTATATACATGTGAATGTAGTCTCTATAGTGGAATTTCTAAAAAGACTTATATTTAGGAACGGAGGGAGTAGAAATCTATTGTCGATTAAACAAAAAAATAGATTAGATTCTGCATCATACATAGAACATAAATAGCTACTCATAAATTAATCTCATGAGCCTGCAGATAAGCATCAAATATGTGTTGTTTGTACAATAATGTTTTACTTCTTTTCGGCAACCCTTTTTTAAATTGTGCAACTATTTTGGCTACCAGTTTAAGTTTATATTAGCCAACTATGATATTCTATCTAAATCCTTTTAGGCGATTATCACTACGTAAAGTTATTGCTATCCTATATAGAATTATTAATGTCTTCAAATCATGATAGTAGGGTATAACAACTTCTGTAGTTACCTTTGTTTAATAAAGTAAGCTAGTTCACCAAAGTAGGTTACTTTTGTTTACTATATTTTTTGTTTAAATGTAATATTTTTGTACTATGGTATCCCTATATATGGTTTCCGATAAGCATAGGTGAGTTAATTAATGATGACGTATGTATTGCTAGCGTCCTACTCCCTCTATAAACTAATATAAGAGCATTTAGATCACTATTTTAGTGATCTAAACGCTCTTATATTAGTTTACGCAGGGAGTACAATTTAGGAACCAAAAAAATGTTAGGATGTTGTAGATCAAATCGTCGTTGCCTAGTGAAAAAAGCATACCACATCGGCAGATTAATTATTGTACTACCATCAAACAATATTTTTTTATGCATGTAACACTTTCAAAGTAATTTTACCTTGATACAATTGTTGGTTTTCCTCCATAGCATTAATGTTTGGGGCCGGAGCATGTATAAGGTGGTTGCCAAGTCCCTCCATACCAACATGTCCATCTTTAAGGATGTCAGGCATGGATTCCTTTTTCTGATCCTGAACGATAGCTTCATTGAGATCAACTAAAGCCTATATTGGCATGACACGTAAATGTCGTTTCAACGTCAATGGCTTATTATGCACTTGTTGAACCGAGGTCAACTGGAAAAAATTTATTTTATATTTACTTTACTGAATGTGTAAGCACATATGTTTTCGTCGTGTGTGACTTAACCTCTGTATATATGTTAGTCCAATATATTGTCTGAGCCTTATTCATGTATGTATGGTGTTTGTTTATTTTCAGTTTTTGCGCCCTAGCAGCTAGTCAGAGTGAGGGACATACACATAGTCTAATTCAATTTTTTTGATATGAGTCAAATTCAACCTTAAAACAGAAAGGCAATGTATGCGTGGTTCGGAGAACAAAGACGCACACACTAACACGTCCAAGTGATGGACTCGAAGATTTTTATCGGTGCATGAAGGATTCAAAGTCTTAATCTCGTAAAAAAAAGTCCAAACTATTAAAAACAGAAACTGTCTAAAAAAAGATAGCCACACACGTTGGTTGGTCTAGAAGAAACCAGCAGCCGCATCGCTAGCGCTCCTCCACAGAATCTTATCTCCTCAGTTTTTCTTCGTTGCGCCAGTTATTCACATGCCGACCTCCCCTGGGACACGCCGCCGCTGCCGCTTGCACCCACCGCCGCGGCGCACGCCGCCGAATCTCGCCGCTCCCCCGGATCCCTTCACCACCCCGGCCATGGGCGCTGGCTCCCCCGCCTAGAATCCCCGCTCCCCCGGCCATGGCGCGCGCTACACACCCGCGCAACCACCGGGAATCCACGATGGGCTCCTCTGCAGAGGAGCTAGCTCCGCGCCGTGCGCTCCAGCACCGACGCTCGTGCAGTTCAACGGCGACGACGGCCATGGCCATGCTCACTCATGCTCCAACGCCGGCCGTCCTCGCGCAGGTCCCTTTTCCTCTGTATCTTCAGATCTCATCCCACCACCCGAGCGCCTCCTCCTCGCGCCCTCGTCGACGATCTGCAGACTGCAGTAGCAGCAGCAGGACCCCCGCCGGTGAGCTACCTCCTCCCTCCTTCCTCCTCCCTCATCCCCTTCTACCACCGATGTACTACCTCTCCTCACACTCTCTCTTACCTCTCGAACAGGAAGCAGCAGCTCCACCGCACAACAACGGCGCTGCGGGTGTCACTCTCGAGCGCCAGTTCACGGTCCCAGCGCCCATCTACCTGTGCAGCGCGGCCGCTAACATGGGCAGCTCGATGAGGAACGCCGGCGGCGCCCGCGTGCCCTCGTGGATGGCCAGGCTCAGCCGGCAGCGGCGGTGCCTGAAGAGCGTCACCGCCGGTGCGTGGTCCGCGAGGAGGGCCCTGCTGCCGCTGTGCTGCCCGAGCAGCGCGCCCATCATGAGCGCCAAGACGGCTTGCCCCATTCCTGGGCTCGGGCGGCGCGGACGCCCGCCGCGACGCATCACCCCTTCCTTGGCTCCTGCGGCGTGGACGCCGGTGGCAAGCGGCGACGCGTGCCCGGCGGTGGAGAACGCAAATGGATAAGCGGCGGCGGTTCCTGGTGGTGAATCAGTTTAATTAAGTATCGCGGGGTAGATTTCTAACTAATGGAGGGTTTTGCTGCAAAAACGAAGCGTTTCCTCATGTTAAAATAGGACTGCGTGTTGATTTCTTAGAAACAGAGGGGCTTTTGTGCAAAATAGCTAGCGACGACGGACGACACCCAATTTGCTTTATTATTAGGTAAAGACTAGTAGAGTGCTCGTGCGTTACCACGGGCTCTTAAAATAGTTTGCAAGAGTTACATGTTAACTTTCTAAGGCCTCGCCCTACCGTAGATCCAGACCCCTGCCACTGATTCCACCCCGCCTAGGCCGCCGCCTGCCGCCGCGCTGCCCCATCGCGTTCGCCTCCGCTTCGGCCGCCTCCGCCCGCTCGGACCCCGCCCGCCTCCTCTTCGGCCGCCTCTGCCTCCGGTCCATCCTTCGCCCGGCGCCGCTCCATCCGCCTCCTTTCCGGCCATGCTACGTCCGCCTCCGCCCCGTGTCGCATGCCGCCATCCCGCTCCGTTTGCCTCCGCCCCGCGCCGCACGTCGCCGCCTCGCTCCCCGCTCGGCCGCCGCCCGCTCCCCGATGGCGCCGAAGAAGACGCCGAAGGGCAAGTCTGGTTTCTTCGGCATGAGGGAACTTCGGACTGGAGTTCTCTGGCGCCGGGCAGCATTGGTGGCTCGACACGTATCCCACCGCTGATGAGGTCGTGTGTGCCTACGACATGGCGGTGTGACGTGCCGGACGGACGAAGACGGACCTAAACTTCCCGGAGGTCGAGTCCCAGGCGGTGGCAGAGTGGCTCATGCCGCAGGGCATCCGGATGGAGGAGATGCCGACTAAGAAGGCGAAGAAGAGACTGGCGGTCATTGTCGCTCCCAGCGAGAGCGATGAGGCAGTGATGGCTTGGTTTGAGCCATTTGCAATTTGCTGCAAAGCCATCTCTAATGCTATTTGCTACATTTTTAAATAGGAAAATTATTCCGATCAACCAGCCATAACTCAACAGACCAATCTCTAATGAAATGCTATTTGCTACATTTTTTAAATCAAAAAATTATTCCGATCAGCCAGCCATAACTCAACAGACCAATCTAAACCCACATTTTCTAAAGTAAAGAAATTATTTTCCTTGATAGATCAAGATGACAAAGTGTCGTTTGCCCGACTGCTATGTTCCTACACATGCAGAGCAAATTATTTTTTAAATCAAGGAATTAAGAAAAGGAAGAATATCATCATGTTCGTGGCACTTGCCAGGTCTGCCATGCTACCATGGCATCGTCTTTTTAGTCTCTACTCATATGCCGAGTTGAGAAATAATCTTCAGATATACCCATTGCTAACACACTCACGTACATAATGATCAGACAAGTACATAATGATCCTTGTCTGATTGATTTGGCTGGTTGTTAACACAAGTACACAACACACAAAATCAGTCAATGGCCACACGTATGCATTGTCTACTTTATTCTACTCCCTCCGTTCCAAAATAGATGACCCAACTTTGTACTAACTTTGTACTAAAGTTAGTACAAAGTTGGGTCATCTATTTCGGAACGGAGGGAGTAATTGTGATGCAATCGTGACACATACTCGCCCCGTTCGCTCGCCCGTCACGGTAATTGCCTACTCGCCATTTGTGCCAACCGCTCGACCTCGCCACCGCCGCTCACCACTCAATCTCCACCGGCTGCCCATTGCCTCTTGCGCCTCCCGCGCGCTCGCTCGGCCCAATGCTGTTGATTGGAATGCGGGACTGAAGGTAATCCATGCACAGGTTTTAGTTTTGCTTGGCATCAATCTTTGGTACTTGTCAATCCATCTAACACACAAAAAAATCGACTCTCACACAGAAAAGTGATCTAACTCATTTGTCAAGTACCCTGCTCTAA